GGGAGATGTCCAAAAATTTACAATTTTGTAAAAGCAAAATAATGCAGCAAAATGAGGTTTGCGTCATTTGTTGACATCGTGTTCACATTGAACACGAACCCTATCAAAAGTTTAAAGAAAAAATTGGTGGTGCCGTCTTTAGAAAGTTTTGTTTTTTATACTGCACGTATTTCACTCAATAGGGAGTTTAAGCGCCACGCGTAAGGTAGCGGCGTTATGCACTAATAGTCACGTGACAGACCTTGAAGTCATAACGTCTTACCTTAGGCCTAAGGTACGACCTTATACCTTCATAAATAGTGCACGTCTGTGGGAGTCTCTACGGGCACCTTACAAGCGGCAAAATGGCCGCCTAGAAAGAGGAAAAGTGGTTTTTTCGAACTCTAATAAACCAATTCTCGTATGTACTATACGTTAGTACTGTACGTTACAACTATTCCTTACGAACTCCATAACGCTGGCAAAAATTAACGGCATATATTAGAGAGGTGACAGGAAAGAAATTCGCGAAAAAGATGTTCAAATCATATCTTCGGGATAGGTTATGTCTTATGCTCATAACGAACGCTGTTTTAAGGTATTTCCTATATTTTCAATAAAAGCAGACTCAAAATCTAAAACTCCATGCACAATGTGTATTTGCTGGTCTGATGACTCGTAACCTGTTTTAAATGTCTCACCACTAGCCTACACTCTTTGATATATTATGCAATTTCTCTGTTCAACGCTTGAAATTATTCCTTTGTTATAATGCATAACGCAATGTCGCAATTGCTAAAACTCTCATGAACCTTGTTCATTACAACCTTATGAAGGCGTTAGTCACGTGATCAATAGAGTTTAAGAATCTCCGTACGCATGGCGCTAAAACTCCCTAATATTGCGCGAAAACTACTATTTTTTTAAAATTTACATTACTTTAATGAAAGATATTATTAAGAAAGCAAGTTTCATTTGCAGGAAAACTCTCTAACTTTAATTTTGTAGTGGTAGGAAGAATATTTCATAATTTTGCAATTTTCGAAACTTTAAGAGCTAACAGTGAAAATCGGATCTCTGATACTTTTATAAGTGTATTCTTCTCTATTATTTTTTTTGCCACTTCTCTCTCTATATCTGTTCGGGTCTGCTTCACGTATTTGAAATTTAGTGGACTGTATGGATTGATAGATTAGTTAAAGCGGAGCAGTCTTCGAATCCCTTTGATAGCATGCAGGTTGCAGGATATACTTCCGGTTTCGCAGAAACAAAGTCTTGCAGAAACAGATTTATTCTTAGTCACGTCACTGGCATTAATACATAAATACACAGTTCAATAATTGCACTTATTACAAAGGTAAGTTCAGTTAAGGCTGCAATGTTTTCCTACGGAACATTAAAGATTTATGTGAAGCTGAGGCGACATACAGTGCCGTATTCAACCAACACTACCTAGATACCTACCGCTATCCTAACCACCTATATCTAGGTGATGTTGATTCAACTCAGGTTACAACACAAACTACTGATTAAGTTTGAGCAATTGTTGCTCCTTACGAGTCTTTGAAACTTGTAAGACTGTGACTTTTGCGAGAATTTTATGTGTATGTCTTACACGGAGCTCTGTGGACGTGTGTTTTGCATGCTGTCAACTGACGAACTGATTTCTACTGGCGGCAGCTATGTCTCCAAGAGTCTCTGCGCATCAAGATGCAGTGTGGGGGAGCTAATACCTTATCACAGATTAGCGTTTAGATTTAGATTTATTAATAATTCTGCAATTAAGCTCGAGAACTTGCAGGCAGAATACACTAACGTAACATTACAGAACTTAACAACTTTACAAAATCTACAAATTTTACAAATGCACGTGAACATTTCACCGTGCAATCTTTTATAGCTCTCCACTTCACCACACTTCACATCAGCGCACTGCGAAACACCGAGCTGTAATGTCTTTCTTCACACTAGTTTCCCTCAGTTTCACAACGCTACTGCACTTCACGCCAGCTGTACTGCACATAATAATAAATGAATAAATAATAATAATAATAAATTAATAATAACAACAACAACAACAATAATAATAATAATAATAATAATAATAATAATAATAACAACAATAACTTAATTACATAGAAGACGTAGTTACTTACAATAAATAATATTAAATATATTTATAACACACATATCAAAATTCAGGAAACTAATTTATTTTTAAATTTGTTCAGGCTTTGCGGAAAGGGATCGACGATTGCCATAGGCAAACCGTTCCCGTCTCTAATAGTTCGATTCGCGAATGAATATTTCCGAACGTCCGTTTTCTGAATTCTTGTCTGAATTTTGTGCATGTGATCCGCTCTTCCGAAATATGTAGGTTCCCCTAATCGACTTTGAATTTATTTCCACGCTCGAAGGCCTGTGTACGCTTTATACATTGCATACAGACGTGATTTTAATCTCCTCATTTCGAGTGACCCCCATACCCCTTTATTCTTGGTACCCCTGAAAGTAAAATTTCGTGCTCTACGATGTACCTTTTTCAGATTCTTTTGCTGCAAAATTCTGTATGGGTCCCAACATACCGTTCCATATTCTAATACGGGTCGCACTAATGACATAATATGCTAGTTCTTTGGCTCTCACTGTACTCTTTTTCAGTATCCGCATAACAAAATGTAAAGATTTCCAGGCTTTCCCAACAACGAAATTGACTTGATATTTCCAGCTCAATTTATTGTCTAGGTGTATTCCTAAGTATTTGCAAGACGTGGCTCGAGATATAACATTATTGTTCAGTTTGTACGCAGATTTATATCAACTTCGACCCCCACGAAACGTGATGGACTTGCCCTTTGAACTGTTTATTTCCATGCCGTTTGTTTCTGCCCAGATATGTAATTTGTCTATGTCTCGCTGCAAAATATCCTCGTCCTTCTCTGAGTTGATTACGTAGTCATCTGAAAAGACTCGTACGTTTGAAGCTACATTAGTCGACAATTCATTCACGAAGGCCAGAAACATGAACGGATTCTGGAAGAGTCTCGAAGCATTTGAAGCTTGTGGCAGTTGGGGCGATAGAATTTCGGAGAAGCGCTGTGGCGACACGGTCGCTTGCGACACAGCGTGTAAGCGGAGGCAGCATGAGACACCGAGCGTCTCTAAAGAGCTTCCTGTGAAAGCTGTAACGGATTCTGTCCCCTAAGCATGTAGAAATAAATTTCCGTATAATTTTCTTGCTTTGCTGTGTGGTCCCAAACAATATCTTGCTTACTTTTTTGTTAGATTGAATTTCACAAAATTAACAATTATCATAGAGGTGCCCAGTGGGGATATCCTCGATCAGAATTAGGGATATGAAAGTGCTCTAATTTATAAATACTTGTAACTTTGAGCCACTATTAATTTTAATTAATACATAAAAAACTAATTATCATATGTAAATCGGTAATTCCACTGATCTGGTTAAATAAATTTAAAAAATTTCGTACAAGATATTTTTAAAAAAATGATAGCCATTGTTGATAAAATTTGAAAAATTTCTCAGGGGCTTCATGTAATGTAACCTCACAATTATATAAAGTTATTGAAAATCGCATAGCTAAGAGTCTAGCCAGCAGATCGATCAGGGATTATCAATTTTGAAAAAAAGAAACAAATGTACGATTAGTTTAGGCACTAGTGTTGTTCACAAACGACAGAGACTGCGGATGGACGGAGAGTGGGTACGGACGCGGAGATTGGGATTTTGAAAAAAAAAAATTTGTGAATCGTATTTTCGTTGAAATTTCGAAGTTGATCTCCTGCAGCAATAGAAAACTTTCTGTATATCACTCCGTAAGTATACAAGAAATTTACTGATAATGTAATTTATCTTAATTTAATTTACATGTTTTAATTCTATAACAGTGAATTTACGAAGATAAGTACCGTAATTCTTTTTTCGTGGAGACTAGGATCATTTTTAAATTTTGGTTAGGATAACGAATTTTTATGGCTTTTTTGTGTATTAGCTATTAGAATATGTCCTAAATTTTTTATTTTGAACAATCTAGTTTTTCAAATGAAAGAGCCGAAATAACTTTGTTGCCAAAAGAACTTGAGCCATATTTTAGAAAAATTGGGAAACTTTCGCCTTTTCCCCTGCAATAGCAATACTCTCTCTGTACTATGTAAGCAGAAGATGAGAAGGTAAAAAATGGAGCTTATTTTGAGAAACGTCAAATATAACGTTTGAAAACTGGGTCAGCCTTCATATGAAGTATCACCAAAATGTAAAGAATGATTTTCATAATCGCAGAGCTTGGAGTCGGGCCAGATCGTTTGAGAAGAATCCTATAATTAGTTCAGGCATATTGTGATGCAAACACTAGACGGACGGACAGAAAGACTATCGTATTTTTGAAAAAACAAAACAAAACAATTTTTTTGTGGTATCAGGGGATTTAGTATTGACATTTTTGACATCTGGGAACATTTTGAAATCGATTTTCGGCAACTTAACTTTCTCTATATTCCCTATTATATATTGAACAACAGACAGGTAATCCAATAAAATTTTAATTGCTTTAAGTTAATGCAGATCTATCTGATAATACTTATTTTCAAGAAAATTCTGTGAATGGTTTTGCTATATTATGTTACACATTTAAGTCTGGCAAATGTAGTATTAGAAAAATACTTTTTCGGTATCATATCTTTGAATACGTACATCACCGTTAAAATTTCGAGATCGATTGTTTCGTAGGTGACTGTGAACTACGTGTGTATCAGATTGTTAAAAAACTTTGTTTTCACCCCTTCTTTTTACTTCCGATTCTGCTTTAAGGTATTTCTTATGAGTGTGGTGTTGGCAATGGACACAAATGCGAGTAATACATAAAATAAAATGTTATTTATTTTTCATATAAACAAAACTAATACAGATTTATGTAATAAAATTTTCTTGTATTGCAGAATGAAGTACCAAAAAAGAATTCTCATCGTAAAGGAGATGTAATGATTTTGAAGGCATTATCAGATAAGGCGTGGGAGAATGAAAAGCGAAAACAAGAATGTTCTAAGAAAGATTCAAATGATATGCCTAATATTCCAAGTTCATCTGATCAAAAAACAGCACCATCTGGATTGCAAGAAAACCAAGCCCTTTGGCTGAATGATATCAAAAAACATTTTGAGGTATTTCCTGGCCATCACTCGTGTAAGAAATGCAAGTTTATTATAACTCACAACTTCACCATGGAGGATAGGCTGCACCCAAGGGGTTCTAATTGCGAGCTGTGCAGCAAGGCTCTGTTTCATAATCAGGGTATTAACAACGATGAAGAGGAGCTGTTGCCTATATGCAACCTGTGTAAGAATCTGTTGAAACACTTATATAAACATGAAGTTGAAAAAACGAGCTTGCCCAGATTTATATGCATATCTTGTGATCAGCCTTTTGAGGAACAAACCTTGTACATACACCATGTTAAGAAGCACAGAAAAAGGCTTCTGAAGTGCTCACTTTGTTCAATGTACTTCACCTCACGTTATGATATGGGGGATCACATACGACTGCATATTAGGGATGGTAGTTACTTTTCTAGGAGACCAAAGGTTGATCGAGAAAAGTCTCTTTACAATTTATTATCTTGAGAATATTAACATATTACTCTGTATTCTAAAAAGTTGTTCTGAAACTTGAAAGAATGCTGATGAAATGCATTCTTTGGGGGCCTATATTGTGTTCACATGAGATCAAAGTCCTGTGAACAAAAAAATCTGGAAATGTTGATTCATAAGAAATTTTCTTAGAAAGATTGTGATTTCTTAGTATGTAGAATAAATACAATGAAGAAATTTCAAACATAGTCCACATAGCTTAGTGTGACTACCTATTTACAGATGTGAATATTTTCCTCTTTAGAAAAAATGTAGCTAGAGTAGTGGTTTGACATGGAACTGAATTAGCGTAGTTTGTTAGACATTTTACTTACTGAAAATGTTATTTAATTTTCTTTTTAGTATGACAGAACATGGTGCATCCACATACAGATTTTTTTCTTGAAATAAAGAAAATATCTTTTGTTTATAAAAAGTACTTTGAAAGAACTTTAACATGTTAGGAATGTGAGTGGTTCTCCACATTCTAGAACATTTACATCAATTCAGTTCTCTTCATCTAATGAGAGTTTGTGAAAATTATCAATTTAATATAATTGTACTTGATGTAAATAAATATACCTTTTCTTTGGGTTGGACAATATTTGAATGTACGTAATTGTTCAGATTATTCATGTCAATTTCTAAATTTGATGGAGACTAATGGCAAAATAATTGAGGACCCTCGGTATTTTATTACAAATGAATGTTTCAGATATATGTTTGCAAAATTTGTAATTTTTAATACTAGTTAATTTGAGTTTGTAAAGCAATCGAGTTATTGTTAATTAGTATTAATTCGACATTAAGTAATCAAAAATGTGTTCTCAGTGAAAATGTATATCTGATATGTATTTGATATAAGATGAGTTACTAAAGTTGAATATCATAAAAATTACGTTGAACATTTCCTGTCCCTAGTGTAAATTACCAATACCTCTCTGTAATCTGTACAAGAATCTATATTATCATTGTATCACAGGTCATTTGAGTATGGTGAAAATGAACCTTCGTCGTGATAGTTGCAATACATTTGTAAAGTATAGTTTTGTTGCATTTACATTTGTATATTTACATTATTTTTATCATGCCCGATCTTTCTGCCCATTCACAGGACCATGCTCAGACACACCATGCTCCTGTTTTATCTGTATTACCATTGCATCTTACTTAAATACACGTGAGGTGCCAGTTGTAGGAATACCGTTGGCGCGGAATGGAGAAGGGAACACTGCACAAAAAAGAAGATTCTTGCATATATCCCTATATGTATAACCTGTCCAACCATCACTCGCAGACAAACTCCCTTCCGACAAATTCAAACAAATAAAAATCTACGGAAATAGACACGTTTTCTTTTCTTAAAGCTGTCGCCTCATCCATGGACCAAAACGAAGTACCTTTTGGAAAATTTTTAGATCTTTCAGAAGCTTTTGACGTCAATGATCATAACATTTTACTTTCAAAATTACCTTCGAATGGAATTCGTGGTATTGCTCTAGATTCATAATGTTCATACCTTAAACAACGATCTCAGAGAGTAGAAATACCTTACTGGAATAACGGAACATTAAGTATACACCTTTACGATTCTTTGCTAATTGCACGTGAAGTTCTGCAGGGATCGATTTTAGGTCCTATTATCTTCCTACTATACTACTAACGATCTACCCTCGACGATTAGAAACGGAAAAAGAGTTCTCTTTGCGGATGATACGAACATTCTTTGCAATAAAGAAACCTTAAATAATACAATATCAGATATTCCAATTTGTTCCGTAATAACAAATTAATAGTAAATGAAAAGACAACGGTTTCAATGCAGTCGTTCATTTCATTTTATCAGCTCTGTACTTCATTGAAAATTAACGGTTTGCCACTGACTGATGTTTTAGTAACCAAATTGTTAGGTCTTTCAATTCAGTCTAACCTTAAATGAACACTAAATTAAGTTCTTTATGTTACGCTTTCAGAGTTTTTTTCAAATTCAATCAGCCTCCATACTGCTCGTTGTGTATATTTCGCGAATGTTCATTTCCGCTTGAGATACGGCATAATATTCTGGGGAAATACATCTGATAGCTCCCAGACTGTTATATTACAAAAAAGAATTGAACGAATAAGTAAATTCCACTCACGTGGTTCTTGTAAGCCTCTCTTTATCAAAATAGGTATTTTACCATTACATTGTCTCTTGATTTATGAATAAGTGGTTTTTGTCGAAAATGACTTACTTAGGAGCGGGAATACATTTTCAGCAAACACTGATGTCTATAATTACAGCACTCGACATTGTAATCATATTCATCGGGCGTCAGTATCAACAGCTCAGTACAAAAAATTCACATACAATACATGTTCATTATTTTACAACACCTTGCGATATCACATTAAACGATTAAATTCGACACAAAAGTTTAAGTCCCAAGTAAAATCTTTTCTGCTGCACAACTGTTACAAATAGAGACTATATCGAGCATCCAAAAGGAACGTAACATTAATTTTAACAACGCCATTTAGTATATTATTTGCCATTTGGATAGTATAATTCTAAAGAACCTGCAACAAGTATTGTACTTATGCTTCTGGGTCAATGACCCGCATTTCGATCAGGTTTTCGTCCAGTTTCCCTGATCCTCGAGCAAATGCTAAGATGGCCCCTTGTTTTGTTTCTGGGCATAAATATGACTTCAAACTAACTTCTCCCCATAGCACGTTACACACAGTTTTTAATTGTTTTTGACGTAAATACATAAAAAAATATGTTATTCAACGCGTCTAGGTGTCCTGATGGGGAATGTATTTTTTGCTGATGCATCCAGATTCTAAAATATTTCTTGAAGAGTAGTGTTTTTTTTGGGAGGGAGACGTAAACAACTAAAATCTTTTTGAGTGATTTGCGGCACCTACAGATCAATAACTCATTCTATTCCTCTTGAAAAGACAAACCGATTGGCCAAATTCATCGCCACTTCTGACTAGGATATTCCAGAAGTGAAGAAAAATACAAATTTTTGATTTTTACATTGCACTGACGAGTACGTGAAATGCTGTGAATTACAATACTCTCTTTCCATCAGTTGCATGAATCGTTAGGACTTCATTCGTCTGATTGATAATTAACACTAATTTTGCATTGAACAACTGTAACATGTTTAAAATGTATTTTCTCAACGAACTTGCCAAACGTTCAAACTGTGTGTGATTGGAATGTGTTACATGTCTGTGAACCTGTATTTAGAAATGCAAGCTTGAATGAAAGCATGTTAGAAGAGCATTTCTATAAAAGTTTCGTGTTAGGAAATAATAACAAAAGTAATGGGATGCATTGTTGACAGAGGTTCAATGGTATTTTTAATTTTAAAAAAATGTTAAATGTGAGATTTACAAATTCTATTGTGTGTAATTAGTACGTGATTTTGTCACGGCCTACTTGATTCTCAAAAGTAAGATGTTTTGCTCATTGTAATGAGTTGTGGTTCCTCGTTTCTGGTGTGAAGCTAGTATGTGGCTTGGCTGCCCACTTGGTAGTTTGAGCCGGGAGAAATGTTTCTATTTTTCAAATTTAACAATAATTAGGAAGCAGATATGCTGCATTTCATAAAATAAGGTTTTGATGAATTTGTAAAATAGATTAACAAATTTCTAGTGAGCACCTTATGATTCTGTGTTCCATGCAGGAGTGTTTTTAGTGATGTTTGTTTTCCTGGTGAATGTGTATTACTTCTAATTAATTATTGATTAGGTGCAAAATGCATTTTGCATAGTTAAATCCGCAAAATTATTTCTTCTAAATTCCAGTGTAAATGGATGGTCATATTTTGAATTATTTCCAGTAATATTGTTCCTAATACAAAGGTATGTATAATTTATAATTTTTCATTATCATTTACTGTTTAAATAGGTACATTGTATTTTAGAACTCCCTTCTTTGAAATCGTGATTATGAACACGTATTTATGATTACAAAAGCTGACTAAGCATGTTCTTGGAGCTTCTACTTGATAGGTATGCCCGATACTTTTTCCTATAAAATATTGCATTCATAACATGTATATATGCAAACTTTTATTACAATTCAAAATTCATGAATGCAAAATTTTATTGGAACATTCATATGAACATGAAAATAAAGAAATGTTTACACAATTAAAAATAATTTCATATACATTAACAGTTAATGTTAATGCACTTTTAATTACCTTTTTTTAATGGCAGAGGTAGTTCTATATTTTCATCTTCATTTTGATTATATCTGAAATCTATTATTCGACATATTAGTGGCTCTCATTGTTTGGACATATGGGCCTCGTAAAATAATAATCTGATCAAGTCTCTATGAAATGATGATTTTGGAAACAAACTCGTTTTTATCAATTGATATTCTGTTAGTCTACTTGAATACAATAGCATTTTTAACTCAATCGACATGATCGGATGATGTAATTTGGCAAAACATCAACAGATCGTGTATTCTTTTATATTGATATTATGCCGTTTTTACCAAATGAACAAAATTTATACAACAAAAGACAGAATACACGTCTACTTATACTGATTTGTAGTAACTATAGGTAAGCTATTGTGTACGTTATTTAGACTCGTGGACAGTAATTCTGTTGACTCTAGTAGTCAAAGTAGTGATGGCAGTTTAGGGAACCGCAGTGGAATGATTTGGGTAGGCTACTCCGTCGCACCGAGTTTTACTCAGCAGTTCTGCGCAGCACAAGTTTGCGTCACGAAACACGTGACCACAGCAAGGACACTTCTTTTGAATAGTCAGTCCAGACGTCGCCCGCCATGTTGCATGGAGAGCGAGAAGTGTTGAGAAGCATTTTGAAAAGACATAAGTGACAATTTTCAACGAAAAGTAAGACATTGACTTTGTAATTGAAATAAAAGTTGCAATATTTAAAAAATGCTTCATATATCTGTTTCAATGACTTGTAACAAGGTGATGACTGTTTTGGCAAATTGCTTCATTTAAAATTCCCCCATATAATGTGACGCAAACTGGTGTCTGAAGCTCATTCGCTGAAGTCAGATACGATGCAAAAGAGCCCCCCCCCCGGGTACCAAAAACTTGGCAAGGGTGTGATATAAATTTCTTCAAAGAAGAAAGCAATGGTCTACGTAGAACAGAATATCTGTTCCCAATTGAAAAGCAATGGTGATTTGTGGATTGGTTGCAGAAGAAGCGACGATAGTTGGGAAGTAATCAAACATTCAAATGATGAGGTCGCGACCTATGTTTCGCTGACTGAACGTCACGACCGCAGTACTGGGACTAGGAATACGAAGTTTGTATCTGCTGACGAAGGTAAAAGTTTTTTCATTGGTAATAAATAGTGCCCTAAAATTCAGGCATTTATTTCACCCAACATAGGTAGGCAAAGCGAAATTTCTTTACAAAAATAGGCTTGTAGAAGAGGCATTTATTCTGGCTAACGTAATTGTGTAAAAAGGCAAGAAAGCCATGAAAAATAAAATTGTAAAATGAATTATTGTAAAAAATTTAAAAAATGTTTTTCATTTTCTTCTATTCAGGAAACTGATAGTTACGGCAGTTTTGTAACACATTTAATTTTCTTAAACACTTGAACAGTAACTTCAAGTGTGATGTGTGAACTAGCATTCAATTCAATTAACTTACATATTTGTTAATTAATATTTATTCAGTTGTCCAGCCCTAACTCCTCCAGCCTGGAGGCTGGAAACATTTCCACCAGCATCACTATTTTTCGTGTAGAGTACTTCTCTGGGCAATGAACTTTTACCAAAAGACAGCTTCGCTCTGCCAGCTAATGTCGACAACCGAATGGTAACGAACACAACCATCTGCATTATAAATCGAGGCTCAGAGGATTGAGGCCATTCCGAAGCTTATTTGTCGGGACACCGGGACAAAAGGAAGAAAACCTTCCATAAACCGGGGCGTCGGGGACCCTAGAGGAGGAGCTAAGAGCCAACGTGGAAGTAGCGAGAAGAACAACGCACATCGCTGCTATACTCCAATTTAAAGGTTGTGTCTCTTCAAGGTCACGAGCGGGAAGGAAAGGGGGACAACATCTGTCAATCAGGAGCATCAATACCAAAACTTTTAAGTCGTAATGAAGCTCCCGATTGCAGGTCAATGCCCTCCTCTCCGTCCCGCTCGTGATCCTGAATGGACACTATCCTTAAATTGGAGTATATATGTGTTCGTGACGAGCTTCCCGTTAGCCAAGCTGACTGGTCGCCAGGAGGGGAGTCGGCTGTGGGTGCGATGATCACATTTTTCTCTCCGATGAGAAGCAGAGTAAGCGCAGCTCCAAGCAATACGAACCAAATTAAACGAAGATAAATGTCTATGACTGACTCAAAATGCTTCCTGACTCATACCAATTAACGAATGCACAGGAAATAAAAAATTCTAAAATTGGAACAAACAGTAGCCAAATTTGAAAGTAAGTTTTACAACAATAAACATATATACCCAAACACTATCTTATTTAATATAGGAAAAATGTAGTATATCCAGGTAAAACATTAATATTTCGTAAAGTAAATTCAAACCACCTTACCACCTTTTGCTTCTCAACATAACCAATTTCTTTTCTCCCTCAAATCTAAAATACAACGCATATGTTATGGAATATGATATTTTTGGATCATATCTCCGTATTGTTTTTGTCAGAAACGTTCGAAGTTGGTTTCTAGTATAATGCCACGAACACTTTTGAAGTATCAGATCAGAATGATTTAACTCCGTAAGTGCTTAGGATGATAATATATTTACTCGAAATGACACTCTTTACTTCACTTCGGCCATACGTCGCCCACGAGTGCCACAAAGTGGAATGTACACCCTGAAGCAAAGGTTCACATTTCGAATAAACACATTGCCGCCGTACGCTCTTAAGGAATTAATGAATTTTGATCAGTTACTTCTCAGTTTTAAAACCATAAGATTGAAAAAGTGCAACATTTTGTAATAGGTCCAAATACGCTTTGTTTGAAATGAGTCTTAGGGCAACGACAACTGCCACATTCAAATTGAGAGAAATCAGAAACAGATTGGAATATATATTCAAATTGGAAAATATCTAATAAAATCCAGATCCAGCAGAAATAAGAAGTGGGTGAAGGAGCAAAAGGAGATGAAGTCGAACAAAGAGGCGGAGATGATAAAAAGTGGGAAGAGCAGATCGGACAAACCAACTGATTCCAAATTTCCGTTTGGTTTCCAAATGTCCAATAAATCAATAAACGTTCCAATGCTTTGCATTCATAAAATTTCTATTTAGGTTACTCTTGTAATTGCTCTGTTTGAATAAACTTGGTCTCAAAATGAATGTGTTGGTTCTCAATTTGAAAGTGTTTGACAACAATTTGAAGTTGAAAAGGTATATAGGCGAAAAATTCATGTAAATAAATCACCAGCCTTATTTTAGATTAGCAATATATAATTCCTTTAAGGTTTTGGCCTTAGGAGAATGGATTTCCATATTATGTAATTTTTCAATTTCGTCGTGGCCTGAACATTATCGAAACTTTATAGACAGTTCCAAGGCTGGAAGCGCTGTTGCTGAGGTTATTTGTGAACAGCGAGTGCACTGCAATTTTGACGAACTTAAATCGGGCGCGATAGCAGTGCCGCTCGTGATACGGAACTGACGTAATTTGCACTCTAGCTCCACCAATTCACAAATTTACGTTTTCGTAGTCAATACGCCCAAATGTTTATTTCTTCGACAATAATTAGAATTATCCCCCGAGGTCCGACTAACCGGAAGCACAACCTTTTAAATGTGCCAGTCAAATTCCATTTGTTTTGAAAACAGCGTCTAATCACCTGAAATTACTAATCTTGCATACTAAATGTGAATACGTGAACGAGCTAGAATATACTACATCGCGTGGCTGTCCCAACGGTTTCAGCGCTCTTGGTGGACGCTCGTCGAACTAGGCCGCCATGTTTTTTTACAGTCAAACCATGAAAGGTGCCTGATAGCGTGTAGAACGATTGTATTGAATCGACATGTTATTTGTATCTGATCTTATTTCTATATTGTGGTCTTTTTGTTTATCTGTATTTAAATTGTACTGCCTGACAAAAACATGATGCACCCAGAAGGAGTAGTCCAATATTATCTCATTTTGTTATACATGCATACCATTGAGGTACGAGTAAATGATTAGAATAGCACGTCTCTGGGACGACGTTACTCACCCGCGGTGCCAAGCAGACAGCTCATCCACCTATTTATTGCATTTGATAGAATTGTGGGACTTCATGGGGCTGGTTGGTCGTATCGTGCAATTGCCAGGGATGTGGACTAATCAGATCTTACAGTGGCCCGATGTTGGAATCAATGAGTATATGAGGGCACCCATGCACGTCGTCGGGTCGACTATGAATCCCCGATCGAGGTCCTATGGTGCGCCAAGCAGTGCTGAATCCCATGACGTCGGCACTCGCCCTAGGCGAACAGGCTCTGGCGACTCTACATCATCCCGTGAGTTCCCGCACAGTGGTTAGACGACTCGCATCCCCCGGATTGGGGTGCCCCCTCCATGCGTTGGTTGGCATTGACACAAGAACACCGACGTCGGCGTTTGGATTGGCGTCAGGACCGGGAGGAATAGACAGAGGACGGAATGGACCGGACGACGCATCTTGTGCAGTTACGTGCAGTTACGCTTTGCCATAATGTCTGATGACCATCGTGTTCGAGTATGGCAAGAATGAGATGAATGGCAGAGACAGCATCTTGTCCATATTGTGGAGAGACACAAAGTCGTAAACTCAGGCATCATTGTGTGGGGAGCAATCGGATAAGCGTTCAAATCACTTGTAATAGTGATTAGACAGACGGCACGACTATTCTTTACGGATATTCTGCGTCCGCACATCCTACCCCTTACGACACAGCATCCTGGGCCAGCGTCACAACAAGATAA